TACACTATCATATATTCAAAGGACTCAGGTGGAGACATATTTAAAAAAAGGAATTACACTGTGGTTGATAAGTACTATGATAAATACATCTCGAGGAGTATAGAAGATGGTTCACAATCCCAGGAAAGAATTCTTTAAAGTAGAGAGATAAAAACAAAGAATTAGAGGATGAATAGGAATTTACTGTATAAAAGCAGAGAGTGTGAGTAGAGACTAATCAGGTTAGTAACAAAGGCACTCCAGGTATTGGAAAGAGCAGACTCAAAGGTGAAGAGGAAGAAAAAGAGTCTTGTCTTATGGTCAGGGATAAAAATTCTGTTTGGAGTAACTGGGCAATTCAATGTGAGGCATGAATGGTAAGAGATGAGAACTGAGCATTGAACAGGAGCCTGGTGGTGGAATATTGCTTATGCTCTGAAGAACACAGACCTCTGCACTGCGGGCATTGGGGAGCCAAGAACACATCTGAACAATGGGAATTATGTGTTCATCTTTCCATGGCATGGATAACTTGGGTATATATATGCAACTATGTGAATCGTATATTTGCAGGGGTCACACTGGAAGAAGAAAGACTTGTTATGAGACGCCTATACTTCAGGTGAAAAATGACGTAGCCTCAATCTAGGTAACAATTCTAGGCTAATCTTTCTAGAAGATAAGAAGAGATTTCCACTTCTAGAAATATCTAGTAGGTAAAATTGGCAGGACTTTACTATAGTTGGATACACAAGATGAGAAAGAGGAAGAAACCAAAAGCATTTTGAAAGTTTCTAATCTGAGTCTGTCTGGTTGGTGGAATAGAGAATGAGAGAGGCTAAGAAGGTTCAAACGATAAAATGAATTCCATTTTTGGCATGTTGAAATTTATGGTGCCTCTGGTATAGTCAGAGAGTTGCCAAGGTAACAGTTGGATATACAAATCTGAAGTTCAAGAATAGATGAGGTAGATCTGGGAGTCATCAGCATATTGGCAGTTGTTGAAATCATGCACCAAAAAATTGAGTAAATGGGAAGAAGTAAGATGAAAACAGAGGTTAATTATATCTAGCTGTATTATAGACAATGCTTACGTCTATCAACATCCTTGTCATCCTTCCTCATTTATTCACAACTTTGACACATGGCTCAATTTATTTTTCTTCAGTCTAAGGAAACCATCATTACAGCTGGTTAATCAAATCCTTTAATCTCTCAGTTCCTTGATCAGCTTTGAAGTCCTTCACTAACTCTTAACTTCTGGAATTTGTATCCACACACCTATGACTTGTTCTCCTCTATTACATTTCAAAGCAAAAATTAGGCTTAAGGTTCCTATTTTATAAATACAGACTCGAAACTCATTTACACTGATGTTTCGCTCTTTTTTTGTCACTTTATTGAGACCTCTACTACTCTCTCCTACTACTATTCTATCAATTTCTTTTTTCTTCTTCTTGTTTTTTTTTTTTGGTTTTTTTTTTTTTTTTTTTTTTTTTTTTTTTGAGATGGAGTTTCATTCTTGTCACCCAGGCTGAAGTGCAATGGCACAATCTCGGCTCACTGTAATCTCTTCCTCCTGAGTTCAAGCGATTCTCCAGCCTTAGCCTTCTGAGTAGCTGAGGTTACAGGTGCCCGCCACCACGCCTGGCTAATTTTTTGTATTTTTAGTAGAGACAGGGTTTCACCATGTTGGCTAGGCTAGTCTCAAACTCCTGACCTCAGGTGATGTGCCTGCCCTGTACTCCCAAAGTGCTGTGATTACAGGCATGAGCCACCATGCCAGGCCTACTCTATCAATTTCTATTTGTACTCTTCATTACATTCTCATTCTTAGTGCTTCTAGTTATAGTTGTTCCTTGTACCCCATGATCTACTATTTCAATTATTACCTTGCAATGATCTACAATCATTTGTCTTGTTATTCCTTTTTTACATATGGCTAACTATCTGTAGCTGGGTCTAATTCGTTATGTTTTATTTATTTAATAAACACTTAATGTGACACTTATATAAGTTATATCTAAGAACTTCACAGTTTTAACCATTTATTAATAAACTTTCATAAAAACCCATGAGGTGGGCACATCCAGGATGTTCTCTGCAAGAGGAACTCACAGCATCACACAAGTTTGTGACTCCCAACTCGGAACAGAAAACTCTTCTTTAATTGGGATTCTCTCTGTGGAGAAACCAACTACCATGCTTTAAGAAAGTCAAACTATCTCGTGCAGCGTGACCTTATGGTGAGGCCCAAGTGGAGAAAAAGCTTAGGCTTCTAGCCCACAGCCTGTATCAACTACCAGACATATGAATGAAGTGAACAAGCCTTTGGATGATTTTAGCCTTTGGCCTCTGAATTCTCTAGCAGAAACCTCAGGCATCATAAGGCAAGGACAAGCTTTTTTTTGTTTTGTTAATAAAGTTTTTGTTAAATCCAACACATTCATTTGATTCTTTGAAGTGTTTAACATAGTCAGCCAAGCATGTACTACTACCTGCTCTGATTTTCACTTGTGATTTCTAGTCACTTCTCATCAGACACCACTGAGCGCTCTTCTACCCATTCCTTTCTTTAGAGCTCTGTCCTAGGCTTTGTATGGACCAGTGAGCCTCAGTCAGGAGTTTGCAATTACAACCTACTCTGTGTGATCTCATTCACTCCCATGGCTTCAAAATTTCCTACATTCCAATATCTCCTAAATTTATATTTAGTCCAGATGTCTCGTCTGTGCATCTGACAAATATATCAAACCACTAAGCACACATTAGTAATACTATCTTGAATGTTTCACAGATAGCTCAAACTCAGTGTGTAGCAGAATGAATGTATCATCTCTCCAGTCATATCTTTCTGCTTTATTTTTTCAGTAAATGAGATCAACATCCAATATACATAATTTTCTATTCAAAAACCTAGGATAAAACTTTACCTCTTTTTTTTTCCTTCAGTACTGACCCCCATACCACTATATAGCTAATGAAAGCCTATTGATTCCATTTCATCAATACTCTTCTCTTGATTTCCAGTGCTACCTTACTTTTGCACAAGCCACATCAACTCTTTGCTCAGTTATTATGACAGTCTTCTGATTTGTCTCACTTTTCACATTGCCTTTTTTCAGTCTCTTCTCCACATTACAACCAGAACATTTCTAGAGTAAAATTTGAACCTGTATTTCCTGTTTATTATCTTTAAATATCTGGTGATTTCAAAGATTAGTTCAAACTCCTCATAATAACAAATGCAACTTCAGCTTCATCTTTACTAGAATCCCTCTGCTTGGACTATTTTAATTTCTCTTTCACTTCTTGGTCTGAAATTCCATCCTAATCATTTATGTCTCCATTTCTCCATTCACCTTCTTCGAGAAGCTCTTTCCATAGTTAATTCTGTCTCTGTGTATAAATTGTTAATTTAAAAAGCCTTCTCTGCCACATTAAGTTATATTAAGCTTTTCTATACCTATGATCTCCTAACAGCTTGCCTATTCTTATCTTATCACAGAACTTTCTACCAGCAATTGTAATTCTGTATTGACATGTTTGTGTCTCATTAGACTTCTGTCATGGCTCGATGATGGCAAGGACACTTTTGCTCACCGTCACAGACTCAGTGATTAGCAAAGATCTATGTAGATAGTGTGGATTAAATATTTACTGAGTTAATTATTAATGAATGAATTAAAAGTGTCTGTGAAAAATATACAATAACAAGTAACCTTAGTCAGAGTCTTGGATATGGAAAGGTAGAGGGACAAGCATGCTTACAAAAGTTTAAGGGCTAGATTAGAAGTGAGGAAGTGAGATGAAAGAATAGAAAAATGAAGCCTAATGGAAGTTCCAATTGAAAATAGGAATAAAAAATAAGACATTATCAAGAGTTATATTTCTGTTCTTGTGTCAGTTTGCTTAGAATGATAGTTTCCAGTTTCATCCATGTCCCTGCAAAGGACATGAACACATCCTTTTCTATGGCTGCATAGTATTCCATGGGGTATACGTGCCACATTTTCTTTATCCAGTCTATCATTGATGGGCATTCGGGTTGGTTCCAAGTCTTTGCTATTGTAAACAGTGCTGCAATAAACATACATGTGCATGTGTCTTTATAATAGAATGATTTATAATCTTTTGGGTATATACCCAGTAATGGGACATTATGAATAGGTAAAATTATTTGTTAATAAAAAATAAAATATCAAAAATAAAAAAAGAGTTGTAAATATTAACACAAAAAGTATCACATTGCCATTGTAACACACATCTCTCCTCTTCAGTGTATGCGTAGAGCCTGCAAGAGACTATCAATTTGCTTACTATTTCATTCTCTATGAGGCAATAGTCTCAAGTAAGGAATGTAATAAATCTCATTCCATTTTGAAACAGTGAGAGTCAAATAATTAATCAGACACATTTAAAGAGTTGAGCAGATAAGATATTGAATAACAGAGCAATGACATTCTTTAGAAAATAGTGAAATTGTAAGTTAAATCACCAGTTAAGATTACATATTAAAGTAAAAGATAAAACATAAAATTTCTCATCAGTCTTAAATTAACCAAAGTCTTTTCAATGTCAATGAATATTTTTAATGCATGAAATCATGTCTCTGAACAAAGAACAAGTCCTAACATTTCTTACATACGTAAATAATTAAATAGTACCTTCTCTGGTAATAAGTAGTTTCATCCTAGTAACACTATTTCTCAAAAAGTCAGAGTTTGGAGAGGAAAATCTGATCTTGATGTTTTTTGTGAACTCTACCTTTGACATTCACTTTTGCCTTTGTTGATGAAATGGAGCTTACATCAAAAGACAATGAACCATTATTGCTGGAAACCTGCTGTGTCTGAGATCCAGTAGGAGGAAGTAGGACATGTTCTTTTCTGAGTATTGTTGTGAGGACCCTTCAGAACACCTACTGATGTTAAATACAGAACCTTATTAACTGAATGCATGGCATTGGAAACATCACATTCTATTTTTTTTAAATACTATAATGTGCTTTTGCTTCTTACCTTGTTGTACAAAAGATCCATACACAAACCACATGGAGTTGTAGAGAGTAGTAGACGTCATTGATCCCATTTGTAATCGTGGGGGATTAAGCCAGTTCAAGAGGTAGACCAGCAGACCCACCAGAAGGACTGTGCCAGCAATGCAAGCCCATAGAGAGAGATCAAATGGTGCAAGACAGGCAAACATATCCACTGTCTTTTCAGCCCTTCGAAGTAGTACTCCCACTGAGTAGTCCATGTAACGTGTTGTAAAGTCCACCACATTCTCACGATCTGGAGTGATGGTTAAAGCAGAAATCCCTATGTCGGCTCTCTGAGAAATTGAAAGAGAAAGGAATACATTAACAGTGTGAAAAACAATTTCATTTGTGCCACTTCAGCTTGCCTCGAGGAAAAAAAAATAGATGCCTCAGGCAATATAAGCCTTTTTATATAAACTGAAAAATACTGCAAAGACTTCTTACAGAAGAGCCATATGTGAAATTTGCATTTCTTACTGAAAATCTTGCCCCACTAGAGTTAGACAAATTACTTTGTTTATGTTATCAGTGCATGTAAAATCAGTGAAGAATATTTAAGACACAGATAACATAGGGAGAAAATTATCTTTTTTCCTGGGTCATTTTTATCACAGCCATCATTGATAGCAAAGGAAAAGCTTATACTAGAGATTCCTTTCTAGGAACATGTTCCCAAGATATTCAATATGTTCTTAGCATGTAAATTATTAGGTAGGTTATTTAGAAACATCAACATGGCATTTTACCTTTGGTTTCTATTTCTCTGCATAGAAATTTATATTACTGGGCTCTAAACAGATTTGTTAGAGTTTCCACAACACTAAGTTGCCATATGCCAGAGGTCACTACTATGATTGTATTGTATAAACTTCAGAAACATTCTAATGAACAATTAATGATTAAGGAAAGAGAATTCTTTTTGGAGTAATAATCCCCTTTTTAATGTGTCTTTTTAGATTCTCAGTGATAGCACTCTTAGCTACAGCATATTCTATTTTACTTACTTAAAACATAATAGAATCTCAGTAAAGCAGAGGGTAGATGATTTCACATTTAAATTGCATGATACGATGATACATATTTAAGTATCTAAAATATGTATCTTTTTTGAAATAATTATCTTCAGCTGTGATTAAAGCTGCAGAATATCCCTTCCAGACAAACACAAACACTAGTATATTATTTGTTGAACATTTTCTCATTATTTTCCTTTTAATTGTTCCATGAAAGAAAATGAAAACTTGTTTTATAGCTTATGGGGACAAAACCCAAGAAAGACATGAAAAGTAACATGCCTAGTGGAATGCTAATCAAACTTGCATAAATCTAGGCTAAAAGTAATAATGCTTTAAAAAATATTCTAGGTATAGTTAAGCAGTGTGGTTATGTGTTTGTATGTTTGTGGGTACCAAGATCAGATATATTTGTTGTGAGGCCCAGTGTTAAATATTTAAGTCATTATTTCTTACTTAATCCTTATAATGAGCTAAGAATTACGTGTTTTCCTCTCCATTTCATAAGTGGAGAAACTAAACCTTAGAAAGTTTAAGTACATTGTTCAGATATCAGTTAATAAGTACAGAAGCCAGATATTAAAGCTATGTTTTTCTTATTCTGAAGCTTGTGCACATAATCATTTTACCATATTGTAGCTATGATTCATTTTCCAAATGAACCATATAGTAAACACTCAGGGTAGTTGGTTCTAGAAAAATTTTTATATTAAAAGTGTAAAAATTTGCTGTTTTAAAACTGTACTGTTTACATTGCAACAAGACCATATTAGCATATGTACCATGGATCTACAATTATTTACTGAAAGGTATTAAACTTAATAACACTATGTGAAAATGAACTTGCAGGAAAATATTGCTTTCAAGCTAATATATATATTAAATTTTTTATAGCAAGATGTTGGGAATTGGGTCTTTTTAGATGGAAAATCTAACCCGGATCTTTAGCTCCCTTGTCCTGTCTTTTCTGAGCTTTAGTTTATCTCTTTGTGAAATAAATGTAACTGTTTAGTATCATTATTGTGAGCTGACTCATTTATCTGGATCTTAATGATGAATAAACAACTCTCTAAGATTCAATTAGGCTCTCAGAAGATGCATTTACTTTTTCAGGCCATTAAAGTACTATGGATCAGTAATTTACTAATTGATCACTAGCGACCCAAAGCATTTAACGACTCAACCAAAGTCAGAAAATTCCACCTGAGCAGGAATTTACTGACAACATGTTGATAATATGTATTAAATGTTCATAAATATTTTTCTAATAAGTAATTATGTGTTCTACCTTTAAATGATTATAAATTAAATGGTTACTTTATTGATTTTAATAACAGATACTGATAAACATCACAACGTGAATTTCTAAAATGGAATAAAAATATCTAAAGTTTTTTTACTTATTTAGGAAAAGGGAGCTGATTATTTGTATGTGCCAAACTATTAAATTTAATAATTACTTGTCATGTATCTATGAACAAATTCCTAAATTCTGCCTATTTTCAACACTTGGCTATTCTTGGCTATTCCATTTTCAAGGAGAAATTTCTAGCTTTTCCATGGAAGGCATATCAGAATCATATAACGAACTTTTTATCACACACACACACACACACACACACACACACACACACAGTTTCCTTTCTCTAAGTTTTGTATAGTACTTCCTAAAAAGGTGCTTCACTCCACACTTCAGAATCAACAATATAGCAGCCCACTGTGATGGGTAGTCCTTTCTTGTGTTAGAGGTGCTGCACTGAGGAAAAAAAAAAATGCCAAGGACCACTAATTCAGAAAGACAGTCCTAAAACTTCCTAAATATTAATAAGCAACAAAACCAGAAATAATCAAAGATGATCATTCAGGTATTTATTTATTTGATCAAGTCACTTGTACACTTTTTACCATGACTTGTCACATCTTTACTCCCACTGTTATTATATAGAGAACACAGAAGATATGAGATTAAAATTCATACTTATTTCTATGTTCCAACCTATTGCCCATACCCAGTCTACTCTATGTAACCCCTTTTACAACATAGGAGTTGTCCCCCTTCCTCAGGCTAACCCTCCAACAGTAAGCGTATCAACCACTCTCCATTTCAGCTATTTAAGTTCCCATCTTACAAATTCAACATTATCCTATTAACTAGATTTCCCATTAAAAGATTCTTTGTTTGTTTTTAAAATGAAATCAAAGAGATTGAGCCCTTCCTTCTATCCTCTCTATCCTTTGGTTACTCCGTATTCACCTTTTCTCTCTATTTTCATACATCCCAGTCAGTCTGAGAAGACTCTTTTTTCCTCCATATTGCTGAGTGCCCTATTCCTCATGGAAAAAAGTACTTTTTAATTATTACATTGTGGAATCAAGTGGATCCACCTCAAAGCTCACCTGATCAGGTTTCTTGACAACATTTCAAACACAGTTTTCCCTTGAATTTCATGACATAACATACACCTCTTTCTCAGTTCCTTTTTCAAGCTCATGTTAGCAATTCTCTGAACTTAGTCCTACATCCTTTTCTCATTTGAGATCTGCCTGTGCAATCCCATCCATGACTATTACTGCTATTGTCCCCATGTACACACGATTTTACAAATGTATATTTCTAGATATGTATCTGAGCTCTGGAGTCTAGACTGATTTATTCAACTACATAATTGACATTTTACTAAATGTCTCAAAAACACCTGAAATTTACATTTAACATGGCCAACATCATACAATATTCAACTAGTCCACTTCCAACATCTCTTGCTTTAATGAATGGCATCTTTTTACATAAGGCATACAACTTGCTAGCCTCATTATCTTCTCCAGCCTATGTCCTCTGTCAAATCTGTCACTACTGTATAGATTTTACCTCCTGAGAATCCTAACAGTCATTCACCTCTCTACTATTTCCAGCTCTCATCATTGATTTCCTAGGCTCCAGCTCCTTTAAGACTACCTGAAATCCACCTGTATTCTTCTTCAATCTCCCTACTGTAGCCAAAGCATTCTTTCTGTAGAGCATATCTGATCCTGTCTCCAGCTACACTTTAAAGGTTTTCAATGAATTTGCATTGCTTTTAGGAGAAAGATGAAAACCTTTAACATGGTTTATGCACCTTTAGGTAGACTATCCCCAACCTGCTTCAATATATTTATACTGCTTCAATATATTTATACTGTGCCATTTTCCCTTCCAGCACTTCTTCCTGATGCATGGTCTTTGTACATGCTGTTCCCACAGTCTGGATTGACCCTCCTGAAACTTCAAGTAAAGTCTCATTTGCATTCATATGTCAGATCAATTTTCATTTTCACAGGGAAGCTATCTGTTATCTCTTTGATTAGAATAATAATTATTATTTACACTATCAGAAGCCTGCATCCCTCACTTTTCTAGTCATTATGACAGTTGGAATCTTATATACATTTATATGATCTTTTCGATAAGGTTTGATTCCTCTACTAGACCATAAGCTCCATGAAAACAAGGATTGTGACTTTCAAAAAATTACCTATCACATTTTCTGGCATAGAATTCATGGTCAATAACTACTTGCCATGAAGATGTAGATAAATGAAGAGGGACCCCCTACTAAACTTTCATTACCTAATTATTATAAATCTCTTCCATCCTTTTGTCAGCATTTCTAACAGAAAGAGTTATTTAAAAAATAAAATTGCAATATGAAAACTGACTGTTTCATAGCAGTGATAAAATATTAATATCCTAAATAATTATGTCAATAATTAAAGTAAGGTTCTTGACTTAGCCGTATATTCAGGCTTATGTTATTTGCAAATAGCTAAGATAATCAAGCATCTACTACAGTAAATACAATATATTATAAAATACTATATGTTAAATATTTAATGTAAAATCATTATTTAAATTTTGATTAGGAGTAGCACTAAAAATGGAATATAAATACTTTTTTCTAATTATTTGAATTACATAGTCCTAATATTTTCCTTGGGAGAACATATAAGATTTGCATTCTCTCAAGTCATGAAAAAGAGGTAGATGGATGATACAAAGGAGCATGACTAATAAGCAATATAGTCACTGAATCTTAGCAGCTTAACGAAATTGAAGTACATTTACTCCAAATTTAATCTGAAATAAATTATTATATGTAACAAGTAAAAATCTAATTTATTCTTGAATGTAATGCGAAGAACATTATATTGGTATTAATAGTTATGAATTTGCTTAGTGTTTGCTATATACCAAGTGTCATGTTATGTGTTTTGCATACATTATTTTAATATTACACCAAGTC